TCGACCTCCAGCCGATCCTTGGCTCATGGCGCTCCAGCCATGCCATGCCAAGGATGAGGCCATACCTCGCATCCAGGTCTAAGACCAAACAGCGTTCCACGCTATCGATGTTCTCGGATTTCACACCAAGGTCGACAGAGACCTTCGACACAGTGACCAATGTCCCCGTCGCGAGACGGGCAGAGACCGTATCTCTCGTTGGCACCCCCAGCGTTCCAGCATACAGCTGACTCCCTTCCACGTGGAGCGACGGGCGTAGTTGCCCGAGACTCCTGAGTCAATCAAGACTCTCCGTGGCTTCGCGAAGCCCTTCACGCTCGATTGAACGACCAGCAAGCCCGGCTTGCACTCCATCTTCTTGTGAGAGAGCTCAGCCCTGTTCGGGGCTGAGTTCCGCTGCTCTCTACCGCCTCGCGCACAACAGAACTCAGCTCTTCCGCGGGGAGGCTTACTGGGAGTTGCCGTTTCCCGACGATGACCCGGAGAGTTGGCTCGCCGAAGCCTCGCTCTTCTTGCGCAGAGGGAAATAGGTCCTCAAGTGCTTAGGCTATTGAACACAAAGCCTCGGCAAATGCCGGCGCGCTGCTCCGCAGCAAGAAGTTCCGTTTTTTCGTCTTCGGCATAGCTGAGGTCCATCGGCTCCGGACCGCTCGAAGAGCTTGCGCTACCACCACTATAACCAGGTCAAGTCGACCGGAAGTTGTGTTCGGCATTCAATACCACATCTACCGCCTCTTCGAAAGAGTTAGGGTGTACACGGAATACTTCCTTTCGCGCTGCGCTCACACGAAGTCCCTCCATGAACACGATCACAATGACCAGTTCCGGAATAGGACCCGCCGCCATTCCGACGATAAGAGTTCTCAACGCTTGGACATAGTCGAATAACTCCTTCTTACCCTACCGGGTAGCAAGGACCTTCGACCGAATACAGTAAGCCTGATTAAGCGGCGCGAACACGCGCGAAAGCTGTTGCTTCAGCTGATTCCAAGTGGGAAATGCAGCGTCAACAAACGTGACGCACGTTAGTGTCCACCCGCGAGCGCGACCCCCAAGCCCGGAGATAGCTAGCGCCACGTGTTGATGCGCAGCCTGAAGCAGGGCCGATTCCGTGGCCATCTCGACCTCACGGGTCCAGAGAAGGAGATTTTCTCTATCCTTCACCTCGAAGGTTTTACGCTCACCAGGCGCGGTTTCAGTCTCATAGACTCGACACGCGTTGTCGACGCCGCCGCCGTTGCGGCGCTCATCTTTTATGGACGTGCTCCAAGAACGCGTTGTCGTAGCTTGAAGCATAAAGTTTAGGTATTAGCTTTGAGCCCTGGTCGTGGGCTGTAAGCTCCTTTGGATAAGGAACTTAGTATTCTTGACTCTTTGAGTCGAACGTCTTCCTCTGACGCTAAAGCTACGACAGCCTCGCTGCACTTAGCAGCACGTTTAGTTGGTCCCGATCCTGAGTCGATTGACTATACCATCTGCGAGGATGGAACACCCCGGGTGCGCGAATTTGCCTCCGGCGCACCAGGCCGCGCTTACTAAGCTTATGACCTTGCTTGGCCCGGAGGGCGTAGCTCATCTTGCGTCGCAAGGTCCAGAGGCGGTCATCGCCAGGCTGGAATCGTTCTCAAAACCAGAAGTGTTTATTTATTATTGTCGCGGCCAAGCCACCTAGTGGAAAATGTATCTGTTTAACTATCTAATATAGCTAAATCTTATCGATTTATTATGTGTGGCTTTCAACGAACGTACTGAGAGACCTTGTTAGCTCTCAAACTTATGTACTGAGCGTTTGCTAACTCTCCGAGTACTCCGTACATCTGTATGCTTCACACCATGTAACCCCGCTACAAAGAGAACTTAGACGGGGCTCAGTCGAAGAACCGGTCGAAAGTCCCGCTGAGCCTGAGCTAGAGACGGAACCGGAGAATCCTATAACGGGAACGGACGCCGAAGAGAAGGAGAGCGAATCTGCTGAAGGGGTTCCTGACTCTCCTACCGAAAGTTTTCACTTTGGCGTGGAGCAGTTCAAGGATGAACAGAAGGCTGTGTCGTGGATGAAAGCGCTAGTGGCGTTCCAGTTGGATTGCGCTCTTCCGTTGGAACCTTTCCTACCAGCGTAGTACGGATGTCTTCTCGGTATGTGGTGCAGGCCGGTCCGTTGCGTCGGTTTGTCAACTTACCAGCGCGAGTCGGACGGGCTTGTACAATTACGGTGCTAGCGGTACCTCGTTCTTATGTGGCGACCATCCTTCACTACCATCACGAGGATACCATGTCGTCTCATTTGGGATTGCCTAAAACGACGGAAAAGGTTAAAGGAGTCGCGTACTGGCTTGGCTGGCGTAAGGATGTGACCGTGGTTTCGATAGAATGCAACACGTGTGGCAGTGGGAAAGGTTCTCAACCGTGGAGCGCGGGAGTAATGCAAGGGATGCCGGTGGTTGAACTGAGAGGACCGTTCGACTTACTAGTCGTGGATGCTATCGATACGTTACCCGTGATGGAAGGTGGAAACCGTTATATTCTGGTGCTCGTCGACTACTTTACAAGGTGAGCCGAGGCGTTCGCGTCGAAACGGCTAGTCACTATGACTGCTGTGGGTGTAATGATGAATGGCGGCGTCGCTCGACACGGGCTTTCGTCTCGGTTGTTGAGCGACAACGATTCGAGCTTCACGTCGAAAGTGGCTTAGTCGTTTTACCATACGCTCGATATCAAGAAACGGTACAGTTCTGCGTGCCATCCACAAACCCAAGGGCTTGTGGAACGGTTCAACGGTACTCTCATATAGATGCTGAGGATGCTCGTGAGTGAGGCTCAGAGCGATTGGGATGTCTACCTGCCACGGGTGTTGCTTGCCTACCGTACCGCCTATCATGAAGCGCTTGAAGCTTCCCATTCTTCACCTTGTACGTACGGGACCCCACGTTACCACTCGACATGGTTTTCCTGAACCTCGAAACAAAGAGGAAGAGTAGCAAAGTGGCTCAGTATAGAAGCGAACTGTACCGTTCGATACGTGATTTTCGCCACTTAGTGGAGCGTCAGCTTTTGACGACTGAAGACAGGCACGCTAGGCGATTGGAGGATCAAGTGGAGGCGACCTACGAAGTCGGAGATCCCGTTTGGATGTACCGGATTTTCAGGGCTAGGAGAGGTGAAACGAGGACGAAGAAGATCGCTTTCTCGTGGTACGGACCTTACCGAGTCTCTAGAAAAGTCGGGGAGAACGCTTGCAAGGCTGCGATCCCCGCTCATCCCGAAGCTGGTGACCGTGAATGTGAGCAGACTCAAAAATTACCGAGGTAAATGGACTCGACCGTTCCTGGATGAGGTACCGCCTGGCGCTGAAGAGACCGAAGAAGGAAGTAGTAATAGGCCCCTAGATGAATCCGACCTCCCGCCTTCGAGCTTCGTGGAACGGTTAACAGTTGATCGAGAAGACACGGTCTTAGCGGAAGTCCAAACGCCTTTACTGGAAGTGGTGGCTAAACGGATTGTGAACCGAACTGTGGAATACTTGGTTCTAACTGCCAACAACGAGACCTTCTGGCTACAAAGAACGGTTTTGATGCCGGCTTATGCCCGGTTAGTGATGGCTTATGAAGATGCCGAAAAGAAGAAGAGGTGTTTGCCTGAGTTGCGAAGAAGTGTTTGGTTGGTCGACGCAAAAACGTCAATGAGGACGTGTTACTTATGGTATAAGTGGAGTGGTGAAATTTTTGAGTCAGCAAAGAACGGTTACTCTGTCGAGAATAAACGGAGCTAGGAAATAGGATGGTGGTGGGGATTGGTGAGAAATAATTGTTTTGGCTACGAACGGAATGATCGGGCTCACGAGAGCGAAGAGAAGAAACCTGGGATCGCTCCACTCAAAAATGGTAACCTTGTCACTTGGGAGTTTGGGATTCGGGAGAAGTCGACGACGGTTTGGAGAAAGGGCTCGACTTGTCGCCTACGCCGGACGCCGCTCCGTTAGCGGTGGAAATTAGATTTTCAGCGGCCTCTTCATTGTCTTCCTCTTTATCTTGGTCGTGGGCGTCATCGTTCGTGTCTTCTTGGGCCTTGTACTTGTCTTCGTCGTCATGGTCGTTGCCTGGGTGGTCCTCTTCGTTGGCTGAGAGACCCATGTAGTACGCTAAATGCTTGTTGGGAGAGCTTGGAGGTTGATACTTGACGGGCGGGGACGCTTTCAGGGCGGTGAACTCTCCGTTTTCTTTGAAGTCGGAATCGTCTTTCCCTTGTTCGGACGCCTGGAACGGTCGACCGTTGAGCACTATGACGGGTTTGGCTGCAGTCAGTAGCTTGGCGACTTCGACCTGAGTCACTCGAAGAGAACGGTCAGAGAGGATCTTCTTCCACGGGCCACGGTTGCGGTTGCCGACCCAGCTATCTTTCAGAGGGTTGCTGCCGGAGACGTCCAGAGCGATGCGAGCCAGGGCCTTGTCCTAACGTCGCATGTTCTTGAGGCGCGAAGGGTCAATTGCTTGACTCTTCTCGAGAAGTTCGGGTATGGAACGGTAGCCGCTGCTATCCACCTCGAAAGGATCGAGGGTGTTGGCGATGACTTAGTCGCCCCGACGGCGGTTAAACAGGACACCGACGTCTTCTTGAGTGGGAGATTTGAATTTGTCGTTGGTTCCGCTAGCGTGCTTGGCGGCCCTGCCTCCGATCCACATGAGATTGTCGTAGACGGTGTCTTCGAACGCAGCCAACATCTCGTAGTAGCCCACCCTCTTCGAAGAAGGCGCTTAACAACTGCAGGCCAGCTCGGAGCGCGCTTGCCTTCAACTTGCGACGAGCTGCAGCGTTGTCCGTCGGAGGGTACATCGCGATGAGTAGGAGCAAGAGACGAAAACGCATCCAGAAGCACCAGTGCTTCCGGTAAAGCTCGGGATGGTGGATACCAGACGCGGTATCCCTTCTACGGGAAGGCCATGCGTGGCGGCGTTATACCCTGCCCCTCCGAGATCTTCACGAGGCGCTTCAGGTCGCGCTCGATGGTGGCGTCTACTCCGGTGGGGAGATCGAACGAGAAGGGAGGCTTGGCGCTTGCCTTCTTGGTCGTGCGCTGCTACTTGGCTGGAGTTGAGTTGAGTGGCGTACGTGAGCTGGATCGCTTGGGGACGTGGGTGGAAGACTGAGTTCTCTCGGACCTGGACGGCGGACATGCTTTCTGGAGAGGGCAGGATGACGACAACGCGCTTCAACGGGGACTGCGAAGTGTCGTCAGCGAGAAGCCGGAGGACCAGTCTGTCGAGGGCGTCGAGCCCAACGGAGTGGCTGTTGGCAGCCAGAACGGCTCGGAGGCGGCTCCAGAACTGGATCATGAAGTGAAGAGGGGTGGCGTCGTCTTCCTCCCTGTCTTTGTCGTCAAGGCGAGAGCGGAGCTGGTCTTCGTCCGTTGGGGTCATCCCTGACTTCTTCGACGACTAAGATGTTAAGACTTTGTATTACGCGCTAGCAGCTATGTGCGCAGCCCTGCCGTAGAAGACCAGCTCTGGAAGACGAAATGGTGGAAGACCTATGAAGCCGTGCTGGCTACTCCTATGGTGGCGCTTGCTACTAGAAAAGAAAACTTACACGGTCTAGGAAGTCTACTGTACAAGTGGTTGGACGCCTTGCATGCGTATTGGTGCGTGTTCTTACCTGAGGTGGTGACGTTGGCGTGGAAGACAACCGTGACGTATTGGTACTGTTCCGGTGTTGAGCTTTAAAGAACGTGAGCTCGTACCTGGCTCGTTGTGCGTGTCTAGTGGACCGTGGTGACGCTGATCGTCTACGCTACTTTTTACGGTGTGTTGTTCCTGTACGAGGTCGTCGAGGGAGTTTGTCTAGGGTGGCCTGGGGTAGCGGTCTTAACGGTGACGACGAATTACGAGTTTCGGGTAATGAGGGCGTCGTGGAGTTTGGTGAGGTCGTCGTACAGTGGTACTCGACGGATGCGTCCTGGTGCTAGGCGTGGTTAGCCATCTGTGGCGTTGGTATGAATATACGTCGGAAGAACGCTCGCCGATTGCTGTGGCCCAGGACCGCTACGACGGTTGGATCCGTGACATGGAGGAACGAGAGCAAGACGACCGTCTCAGCGAGGCATTTTGGCGAGCGGATGAAGGTTCTGTGGAGACACCTCGACAACAAGTACGCAGACTGAGTGGAATACAGGCGGAACGACGCACTTTGCGAGCCAAGATGAGGGATTCGGAGAAGGAAGGCATTGGTAGACGGGCTCGACGATGGCGTCGAGATTCAATCGGGGAGGATGTCGCGAGTGAGAATGGTGGCAACCGTCATGGGAACGGTTCCCGCTCCCCGTCTGGAGTGACCTACGTCCAGCCACTTGAAGCCGCACGGCAAGAGGATGAGCGGCCGTCGGGTCGCCTGAATCAGCTCTGACGTTGTCGAATTTCGCTGCCCGGGTTTGTGCCTGACCCCGTCGCATCGACGTGAAATGTGAAGAGGGAGCAACACTGCCAGCTGAGTACACCGTCAAAGGTGCATCTAAGGCCAAGGTACACCCTGTCGTCACAGCGATGGACAAGGTCCCTAAGACGGACTACGGCAATACTGCAGCGTATGCGAAGGACAGTGAAGCGAAGGAAGGGACGTCAACGGCAACAGTGTACCCAAGGTCGTGCTGACGTGTGGTTCGACTGAGTAAGGATACGGTAAGAGTGACATTGTGGGCGAGGTGAGTTTTGTCAGTCGTGAATTTTTCCTGAAAACCCGAGTTGACTTAATCCATTTGGCGTTATATTACTTATATTGCTACTTGTGTCGACTTGGATTCCTTCTTTTTGTCCCGCACGTCTAGAGCTCGCTACCGTTAATTAGCGCAAGCGCCCCGTTCCAGGGCGACTCGCGACATTAGGAGGGTGATAGAATTCATGCCCAGTCCTCCGCTTTTGGAGATTTTCAGTCTCATGACACCCATTCCTCCTCTTGTGTCAATAGTCTCTGCCAAGAGCCAATGGCGGTACAGGCACTGTTATAATCGGCCACTCAGTATCTAGATTGCTACCTACTCTATACAGGCTTTAAATACTAACATGCCAATTGAGTCAACGTCAATAGAAATCGTGCAGGTTTCGATAAGTTTAATATGATACACGAGATCGTTCCCGCTGTGGCCCAGACTCTGAGAGCGCACTTTTGATCACCTGTGACCGAGCATTTCGATACAAGAATACAAGCTGTATTCTTCTTCTGTAGCATCAAATTTTGATGCCAATACAGTTGTATTGGCATACTACAGCGGGTGTAGGAAGTCAGGTCACCCCTCCTGTTCTTACAGACTCTTGACGCCTGTGGGAGCTATAGGCATCCGTTTGGCGCGAAACTTGGCTTGTTCAAAAGCCCGATGTAGGGCCTTTAGGAGCAATGTGCCTGAGGTGCATCGTTAAAGCTTTTATTGGTAGAGCAGGATTAATTGAAAACATAAGTGGCGAAAACTGAAGACACCCCCTGATGTGAACCATATCCAACACAAACATCAAGTGATTTGACTTCAACTTCAACGTCTTCCACTAGTACTTAGTGTGGCAGCCCTTGGCTTGCTTGACGGCATCGAGGCGCTTGGGTTTGAAGCGTACGGCTCTCTTCATGACGTCATCGTGAATCTGATTACAAATCTTGGGCAACTTCTGCTTTAAATCTTCGAGGGACGTCGCAGGAGTCTTGTTAAACTCCCACTTCATGATAGCCCAGATATTCTCGATCGGATTCAGGTCTGGACTTTGAGTAGGGTGCGTAAGGGCCTTCAAAATCAGATCACGCAGCACCCTTTTCGTTCTTCTTGGCGGTGTGCGCAGGTGCATTATCCTGTACAAACAGGTTTTAATCTGGCAAAGCCGTTCAGAGCCGTGGTGAATGGTACCTCGTTTACCAAAATCTTGCGGTAATATTCACCATTCACAGACGCTTCGCAAATGTGGAGTAGACCGACTCCGCTACCGCAAATGGAGCTCCATATCATTAAAGACTGGCAGCTTAATCGTAGGCTGGAGCAAACGCTTCGTGCGTTCTACGCCACACAGAAACCCGGCCTGTGGTGCCGTGTATCTCAACCATGGCCTCGTCAGTAAACAGGACTTCCTCCCAGTCGACCTCGGTCATCGTCTCGTACTTTTTCGCGTAGGCTAAGCGCTGCTTGCGATGCTTAGCGGGTGGAACGCCCGTGAAGACCAGTCTCACGGATTCTTTCGCGGATTGTACTGCGTGAAAAAGACTTACCGATCTCTGTCCCGGCCTGGGCTGCCAGTCTTGAGGCAATGATGGAGCGATTTTCTTCTACCTCGCGAACGATGCTACGATCTTGACGTACGTCTGTCATTCTTGGTCGACCAGACCTCTGAGATACAAGCGCGTGGCCATGCTTCTTATAGTATCTTATGATTTTTGCAACAGAAGCCTTGGGTATGTTTAGCTGCGTTGCGATCTTGCCGTATTTAAGACCACTGTTATGCTTGTAAACGCATTGTAGACCGAGATCTTGGGGCCATTGGTGACGTCGAGGCTTTGGCTTGGGTTGCGTTGGCATTTGAGGTCGCCAAGTGCAAATGCAAAGTGAGAGCGAGCTAGAAACGCGCGCATACCATTGAAGCTTACAATACGGCTCTATTTAACTTGATCTATGGCTTTAAGATAGTGCAACACTCGTGTAGCATTATGCTCAATACAAACTTCAGTATAAACTTAGGTCTGATCGGGGGGCCAATTCTCAATTGAACGCTGATTGGCGGAATGCTTACACGTTCTACCAACGAAGAAAGGGTGTGCGAGGATAGCAGAGAAATCAGCTTTTGAACAAGACAAGTTTCGCGCCAAACGGATGCCTATAGCGCCCACAGGATTCAAGAGTGTGTAAAAATAGGAGGATGTCCTGACTTTCTACACCCGCCGTACATGTACTACGTAGTAGTATTGTAGATTCCAGTCAAAGTTGCCGAACGAGAGCGGTTCTGACTCCCGCAAACCTATCAGCCAGCACACCCAGTAATCTAAATGATCATAAACTTTAAATTTATAGCGAATCAGAGAGACGATGATGATCCGCATCATGTTGAAGTGACATTCACTCTGGAAGTAACCATGGAGCAAGCTGTAACGCGGAAGCATGCGCACCTGAACACCGTCTACCACTGCCTCTACAGTCTCACCACGCATCTTCACTAACCATTGCTTCCATCCTTGCTCGGACTTTGTTGTGTCACCAAGGTGTTGCTTCACTTTGAGATGCATAACCTTTTCTCATTCTCCAACGTCCGCTCTCTCAGTATCCATCTATCTTCACTGTACAGCACTTCACTGAATAGGTCCCATAGCTTCGGAATGATGTCATTGAATGATTGCCCATTTACAATGACGTCGTCCACCGTGTTGCCCGACGTATTGCGCTGCCTAATCGTTGACTTCACAATTAGGCGTACGACGAGCTGATGCCGCTGTTCCTGGGCTGATGGAGATGTCGAGGAGCGTGGCCGCTCGGCGGGCACCGAGACTGGAGTATGGTCTAGGGAAAAGTGACGGGGCTCAGCGGATGATCCCCCAGCGAGTGAAGTTAAGTGTATGCTCGCGTTTAGATAGCATCGTGACTCAAGCAATAGTTGTGATTCAACAGAGTAAGAGCGCTGTGGATCAGCTGAGGACGCAGCTGAAGAACGCTGCAGTTCCAGCGAGGCCTACTACGGTTGAGGTGGAGAGTATAGGGACTCGGCTGGAGAGCGTGGTAGTGCAACTGGGGAGCGTGGCGGGCGGACTGGAGAACGCTGTGGACGGGCTGGATATCGTCGTCGAACGGCTGGAGAGGGGAGAAACTACGGAGCACCGAACTTCGGAGCACCGGGACATAAAAAGAGTCAACAGCTGTGACACAAGTACGCCATATTGGCAAACACGACGTCGCCGAGCGACCGTTCATTCATCAAAGGCAAAAGTGGAGGGGGTGGTCTCCATGCGGGCGCATAAAGGCTTTTATAGCTGGATAACAACGCTGTCGCCGCCAGCCGTATCGTCTCGAGGGAAACATTTCGCTACAGATGAGCTCAATGGATCCCACGATCGCGTAACGACGGAGAGATGGCTGCGGGATCGCCAAGGAAAATCGCTAAGACAGAAGTGGCTAGGCCTGTCACAGTCAGAGCATGACCTCCACCTACAAGGTGTTGAGGACCCTGGTTTCAATCTCGACGAGTATCCACAGGGCATCCAAGACAGTTGCAGTGATCCGTCCTGTTACCCGTACAGGGGAAGGCCTGCAGACATACCTACCGTTCTTCAAGACGCATCTCGTATCCGACCGGCCCGGACCAGCTCACAGGCACCAACCGACCGAGTGTTTGGCCAATTTATCCAGTTACATGACGAATTAACTAGCGAAGTGATAAATTCTGCCCTAACGGCGGAGATAACTGCAATGGCTATGGCAGTTAGAGAAAATAACTCTCTACTTGTGGTATTTCGTGCAGCAGCCGTTGTAGACGGTTTAGGTGGATTGATTGGTAGTGCTGTCAGCGTAGAATCTCGACGGAAAATTTTGAGCATTACTCACGACGTGAGTGATTCGATGAGAGCTACCAGATTGCAGCTTCATAACGGATTACACACAGACGCGGAAGCCAAGGAAGCTGTTACGGTCACGGATGCTGCGGTCGTTGGAGCTAATACTGCGCTCAAAGGGTTTACAAGCAACGCAAAAAAATCAAATTCGCACTTCAGGTCGATATATCGAGAGCGACTGTAACGGGGTTACATAGTGTGGAACACACAGGGGTACGAAGTACCCGGAGAGTTAGCAAACTCTCAGTACATAAATTGGAGAGTTATCAAGGTCTCTCAGTACGTTGGCCGAAAGCCACACGTTATGCATTTGATTAGGTTTAACTATGCTAGATAGTTAAAGAGATACATTTACCCCTAGGCGGCTTGGCCGCAATAATAGTAAATAAACACTTCTGGTTTTGAAGCATAAAAGTTAAGGTGTTAACTTTGAGCCCTGGTCTTGGGCTGTTAGTGTCCTTTGGATAAGGAACTTAGTATTAGTGACTCTTTGAGTCGAACGTCTTCCTCTGACGCTAAAGCTACGGCAGCCCCACTGCACTTGGTAGCACTTGTAGTCAATCCCGCTCCTGAGTCGGTTGACTATATCCTCTGCGAGGATGGAACACCCCGTGTTCGCGAATTTGCCCCCGGCGCAGCAGGACGCGCTTACTAAGCTTATGTCCTTGCTTGGCCCGGAGGGCGTGGCTCATCTTGCATCGCAAGGTCCACAGGCGGTCCCTGCCAGGCTGGAATCGTTCTCCCGCTACGAGAACGCGCTCTTGGAGCATGTCCAAGAGAAGATGAGCGCCGCAACGGCGGCGGCGTCGATGACGCGTGAAGAGTCTATGAGACTGAAA